TTCACTTCCAGAGACAGTTGTAAGCACTGTGTGACTGCCTCGAGGGTGCTTGACCAGCCGGGACGGGGGGGTGTACTCATACTCATAGTCGTGCATGCCGTAGTCGTTAGACCNGCATCTTGTGCTTACTTGCTTGCGTACGGATGACAGCTGCGTATGACTTAATTTATTTTCTGGTGCTTTCACTTCCTGAGACAATTGTAAGCACTGTGTAACTGCCTCGAGGGTGCTTGACCGGGGGGGGGGCAAAACATGGTTGGGCGTAGATTACGACGGGGGGGCAGCAGTATTGGTCCAGAGGGGGGGGGAAGGAAGGGGGAGGGAGGAGGAGAATCTAGACCTCCCGGCACGTGTTCCACTGTAAATGGACTCTTAACATCGCGCGACAACTGCTGGAAAACCTAAAAGCGCATAGAACTTGTAGCTTGTCACAAATACCCTTTTGAGCAAAAACTCAATATTTGCGCGCATTTCTAGTCTATGGCACGCTGTGAAAGAGCTCAACAGGTTGGCGCCACCGGCGACTAGTGCGTCCGACATTGCACATGGGTGCTGTGAAACAGGGAAGAGCGGTATCGCAAAGCACACACGTCTTGTATAATCGTGTCTTTCGCCGCCTACTACAAAACAAGGTGCGGGAGCGTCAGCGGCGGTAACATATTGCGGCGATGGAGCGGCAACAGCATGAGCACATGCACGCACCTGTTCCATCTTCTTGTAGGACCGGTCAGCGTACACCACCACCTCGTCCGTCTTGGAGAAGAACAACCCCTGCTGCCGCGCGTCGATGTAGCTGTTCGCGAACGGGTTGTGGTTGAACAGGTCCGCGTACGGCACGAGGGCAACCGCCTCCCCGGTGCTAAGACCTCCCAGTCGTATCGCTCTTTTTTGGTGCAAGGGGGGAGGGGGAGGAGGGTGGAAAATTTATAGCCGTGCATGCCGTAGTTGTTAGACCATTGACCCCCCATCCCTACACAGTCGAGATGAAGCACGCCGGGTTCTCACCGGATCAGGTTCTCATACATCACCAAGGGCGGAGGGGGCCCAAAATATGCAGGGGATTCCGAAGTGGCTTTGGAGAAGGGCACAGGCGGGTAGTGAAGGTCAACGGGACCGGACGAAAGATCAGGAGGCGTTTTCGACGAAATACAAGTACGAAAGAAAGGACGAATTTTTGTAGCGCACGTAGAGGGGGCAGGTCCGGGGGGGGGGGTCACCATGCGTTGAGGACCTCTAAGCACTGGGCCGTCTCCGCACACAAGGCAAGCCGCTCAGGAAACTACCCCTGCGCCCGGAGGCCGGGTTCTCCTCGTCGCCCTGAACAAGCCCGATGCCACCGTCGAGCCTGTCGAACGAACAAGCTACAGACAATAGTACCATAGACAATAGTACCATACTTTCGGTGCCGCAACGTCTCTCAACACAAGCAGCCTGACAGTCCGAGTATGACTCCGCGGACGTACGTAAGAGGATTTCAGCTACAATTTTACATTTCACCTGTGGGAGTACTCTATGTACATCGTCCGATACAATATCGCAGGTGACATGGCGTAGGATATCACACCCCTACGCCGATCTTCCAAGCTCGATTGCTCCGTGACGAAGAGGGTGCGTTCTCGACGAGACGTTTCCAACGCCTCTCCCCTATTCGGTACCGTAGCTATCTTATACGTGCTGCAAAGTAAGAGGGCTTTGAAAATCGGTTCAGGGTGCGATACCTGACGCACCCTGCCGCATGCCGAGCACGAGCGGCAACGGTACTCGGCGTCGTTGAAACCGTCGCCAAGGGTCCTGCACCGGCTGTTTGCGGCGAGACCACGAACGGTAACGAATCTGCCGGCTATGCAATGTAGTCTATCGTCACCCTCAAGTCATCATCAGGGGCGTCAAGCGCCGTGGTTGGCTATTTACCGTAGATGACACAAGATAACACACCCCCTGGACCGATTTTCAAATCTCGATTTCTCAGCAGCAGAAAGAGTTACAGGGCGGAAAACTGTAGAGTTGAAGCTGTCTCGTCTGGAGCTTTCCGAAAATGTATTGCTTCATTTATATATCCTCTTCGTTGTCGCATAATCGAGCTTTGAAAATTGGTCCAGGGCGTGTGTTATCTTGTGTCATATACGGTAGCCTTCGCCCTTGGCGGTGCGGTAATCGCCAGTCGCACGCATAGTAATTGGAGGCTTGGTCTCGTCGGTCACAGCTGTTTTCGGCCGGTTGTTTCTTCCTTGCTGTCAATAGCTGCTGGTGCTGGTGTCGGTGTTGGTGCTGGTGCTGGTGTCGGTGCTGGTGCTCGTGCTGGTGTTGGTGCTGGTGCTGGTGCTAGTGTTGTTGTTGTTGTGCGATGGGTTCTATTGTTGGTGGACATGGTGACGGTGATGGGTGTGTCGGTAACGGACGTGGGGTACAGACGTATCACAATATACCAGACAACCTGGACATCTTCAAATTCGGCCTCTGTAAGCCAACTGCTGCCCCAGGCTTACCTTGAAAACAACATCGCGAACGCCCACTGGAACTCCTCGAAAGTGTGAACCTCCCTAGGCAAGATCTGAGGACGCCCGACCAACAAGAGTCGTTGATTGGACGGCGGGGGGTGGGGCGCGGAGACGTGTCATCTAGTTACCGGCGAGGGCTAACCGTCAACAGGTTAAAAAAAAATCGACCACGAGGTTCTCATCTTTCACTTTTACAGGCAAATATAATCCTACTAGTAGCTAGAGTGTCGATGCTTTGCAGTTAAACCGTTACCAAAGAACATGGCTTCAACCATCGTTTTCGCCTGTTCGTATCCCCACCGCATGTACGCATTTAGGCCCAGCGAACTCCAACGTTTCGGTCGCTTGTCCTCCTACGCCAGCATCGCAAGTGCCTAGCTATCTATCGCCGTTACATGATACCAGGTACCCACCTCCGGGAATTTGTCGAGCAAATCGTTCTCCACAGTGGCGTACTCCACCTCCAGCTTGCGCCGCATGGACTCGGTAGCAGCGATGACGGGAGACCCTTCTAGCAGCGCCAAGTCTTCCTCCGCCCAGAGGTACGTCGGGTACACCTGGGCGGACAAAACACCAAGAGAAGATTCGGTTGATTGGTCAGAGTGCAAGCCCGTCGGATGGGGAACACATGACGGGGGTGGGGGGTGGGGAGGGCTCGTTTCGATTAAGCCGTGGTTGACGGCCCTACCCGCGTACGAGACGGAAGGGGAGAACGGGAGGGAGGGTAAGGTACTTCAATGCTTTTCAGGTGGTACCTGGGACTTCCACGCGTTCTCGTCCACGGAAATGGTAGCGGAGACAACGCCCTCCGGCCGGGCAACCGCCATGAAATCACAAAGAAAACTTTCCAACATGTGAATGTCCGACCCATAAACCAGCAAAGCGAAAAGTCTGCAAATGAGCGCGAAACGGTTGGATGTGCGCATAATCCTGTGTTGCAACCCCTCCTGTTCCCTCCCCTCCCCTCCCCTTCCCTTCCCCCCTCGCCTCCTCCGCGAAAAAAGCAACGCGAAATCTCTGCAAATGAGAACGGCTGGAATCCTGTGTGACAAACCCTCCCCCTACCTTCCCTTCGCTTTCCTTCCCTCCTCACCTCCTTCCCATGAACAGCAACGCGAAACTTCTGCAATTGAGCGCGAAACGGCTGGGTGTATGCATACTTCTTGTGATAAATCATTCCCTCCCTCCCCTGCCCTTCCCGCCCTTGCAGTTCCCCCTTTACCTCTTCCACGGTGGGCAAAACTCCGATGTAGCTGCTCCAGAAGCTATCCTTCCCCTTGGCCTTCTCGTGAACCGCAAGGAGAGCGATGGCGATGTACTCAGACAAGTCTTCCGTGATCACGTCAGCTCCGAACTCCTGCGGGTTTACAAAACACATAACGGCGGTGTACATGCAAATGCGCGCAAGTCTAAGGCAGGCCGGTGCACATAATCTTCGGGATCACACCCTCGACAACGCTACAGCCGTCCCCGCTTTAAGGGCACCCACAATTTTCAAAAAGCACGGTGCCCCGCAGAAGGAATAAAAAAAAAGAAAAAAAAGGGGGTGCATACTTCACAATTTTAACGGCACTTTCTTGAAGAGAACCATGTTGAAGCGGGGGCGATTGCAACCTCTCTCTGAAAAAAAATGGGATGGGGCTTCATGCTCCCAGGCGATCAAGGCGCAAGGGCGTATCCACATCGGCCACGCTCTAAGAACACGCCTTCGCGCTCCAGGTGCTGCTGTTGGGACAGACAGCAGGGCGCGTTCGGAATCAGGTTACGGCCCGCTTGCTCCGTGCTGCCGAGATACGTAGAATCATGATCCCTCCTGGGCTTGAGGAAACCTCCATTGTTATCATGGACTGAAGACTGTCCAAAATGGAGCACGAGTGACATCGCGTCGTCGATCGACAGAGAGAAATTGCAGTAGCATCACACCAACCTTCTTGGCGGCATCCTTGGTGAGGAGCAGGTCGATGGGCAGCGTGAAAAGCTCGTCGCCCTCCTTGATCTCTCGGTTGGCTATCATGCCTCGCCCCGCCGTCTCATTTTCGTTTTCATCCACCGTATCCACCTTTGAAGCGCACCAACAGGGGCGGGGGGGCAGCGAATGAACGTTGATGGCTCTTTACAAATAGAACAACCGATACAATCAGGGGCGACCACAGCAGAAAAACAAAAAGGCAGTACCTATTGTCACGGCCAAACACAGAAAAACAGGAAAGACAACTGAGGGGGGAATAAATAGTCGAAGAGAACAACACAAGCATGCTTTGATAACTCAGATGAAAACTTGTTTCCCCTCCTCTTGTAGCCACCTCCCCGCCGTATTCGCACGCAACAAGAGTTAATAGCTAGCTCACCGCGACGGATAGCGCGTGCGGCCCAACGCCCCAATCGCTCTTGTCGTAGACCCAGACGCCGTTCTCCCCCATCCACTCCTTGAGTGCGTTATTCTCCGCTACCCGACTGTCTTCCGCGACCACCCCGCCGAGCCCCGACATCTGTGAGGGTGATGGTGGGGCGGTAGGCAGCGGGGGGGGGGGGGGGGGGGGTAACTCTCATGTGAACACCTGCTGTAATCGGTAAACCACAGACCTCGCATCCCCACCATGCCGGGACGGAGCGATGCACGACGGGTTTTTGCCGGCCCAGGATACGGTTCACAAGGATTAACCAGATGCTGGTCATCACCTTGCGTTGCTGTGCCAAAATAGGAAAGCCACGGGTTGATGGGGCATCCATTCCGGCTAACCAATCGTTTCGCGTTCGGGAGGCACGGCGAGGCTATCCTTCGGGTACCGCAAGAGACTTCGACCTTTGCGCGCGCTCACATACACAACAGGCGCGCCACACACAGCGAACACGTCGCCTTGTGTGTGAAACATACACTTGGGAGTAAACCTGCTCCTATACTTCAGGTGGAACATTTCTACATGGAGTTGATAAGATTGTTGCTCTCTAGGACGTGCCAACTATCCAGTGTTCAGCGGACATCCTTTTGGGTGTGAACTCCAGGACCGACGCCCACGAGCTCACCGGACAGGACATGCCGCATCAACAACCCCCATGCCACAAAAGGCAACTTACCTCGACCAATCCACAAATCCACCCTCAAGCCGAGACGACTGTGAGTTTGGGGCGGAGCATTGCGGTGGTGTGTGCACTGCTGTTCTCTGTTCTTCGCAAAATGAAAATATTTTGCAAGAAGAAGGCTTCGTCGAAGAAAGACGAATATCCAGAGCAACTCCTTTGCAAGGGTGTAATGTCCTTGAAGTGCTTATGTGATGCACAATCGTCGCCCGTGGCAGTAGGACTACAGCAGTGCTACGCACATGGCGGCGGTGGGCTGTTCCTGTTACACCGGTGCAGACGTCCAAGACTCTTGTGACTGTACTCCCATGGAATGGATTCGAACATTCCGCGTGTTCCTTCCACCTGGAAGCTCTGGGACATGTCGTACCCGATGATCTCAACGCGATGTGATCACGCATTTACCGGTTGTGGTGTAAAGCGAATAGACTAGACTATGCATGCAGTGCTGCTGTATCGCCGCCTGCTGTGAGTGCCGCCTGATCGGGCCGAAGGGGGGGTCACCGACACATGTTTTGTTCCTCCAAGCGCAATACCTTCTTGCTAGGACCTAATGGCAGCCCAGGCTCATCAGCCATGCCCTTCAAGGCGTCCAGCCAACCCTTGTCCTCAGCAAACATCGGGCCAGACGCGCTCCGCCTTCGCCGGCCGCTGCCACCACGACCCTCACTGGCGCTGCTGTAGTAGTTGGAGTGGCTGCCTCCTGGTGCAGCTCTTAGTGTCCCTGACGATCTCGCCGGCCCTGCTGCTATACCGTCCTGCCTATCTGCGTGGAGATGGCCCAATCTACGTTTCGGTCCGTGAGGCGATGCCAGTGTGCCTGCTGAAGGAGGGCTGGAGAAGGCACGATCGCAACGCTGCGATGTTACTGGTGTTGTCGACGTCGCTTGTTGTCGAGGCGGTGTCGTCGCATGATGAGTTGGCGATCTGTAGGTGAAAGTGAAAGCCTCTGAGCCGGCGTTGTTGCTGGCGGACCAAGCCGCCAGTAGCATACATCTCACCGTCCATTGTGATGCCGTGCCCATGGTTTTTGAGTCGTCGCCCTTCTCGAACAAGCGAGGAACAGGAGCACGAGCGCTGGTGTGCTGTGAGGGTGCTGTATGTGTCATGCCGCATGCCGCAGCTTTGGAGCTCCGGCAAATAGAAGCAAGTACCCCCCTACCCATGAACACCGCCGCGCCGGCTTGCTGTGCTCACGTTCACGTTTACGAGAACCACGGCGATGGCAAGCTAGGAGTGCAGTGGCTGGCCTGGCTCTATTGCTCCCTCTCTTTTAATCCTCCCGACGAATTTATCTCTACGAGAACAGCGACAAGGTGAGAACTGCTTCCCAGCCCTCGGCCCTCGGCCCTCGGCGCCCTCGCTCTTCCTACAATCGCGAAGTTCCGCCGCATCATACGAACCGAACCGAGCTCGCTGTTTGGGATTCGACCACCCCCGCACCACACTCGGGCTTCCAGCCGTCGGTGATGTCCCTCAGGGAACTACTTGGACTCAACGACGCAGAGCCCCGCCCCCAGCAGATCTGTGCGCCACCAGCCACGGGTCTGAACCTCCAGAGATCCCTCGTCCCAGCTGGCGGCGCGGCATCAGGCCCTGCCAGGAGCAGGAGCAGCAGCAGCAGCCGCGAGAGCGGAGACACAGCGCGCCGGCTGAACACGGGCGAGTCGTGGAGAGAGGAGGAACACCGGCGCATCCAACGCATGGATCCAGGAGGCAGGGGCGGCGGAGGGTCCGGCCAAGTGCCGGATGGGTGCGGAGTAGCTACCTCAGCCTTTGCGCACCGCCAGCAGCAGCCACCTGCATCTGGGTCCGAGGCGCACGGGCAGCAGGGGGGGGTGGTATGGCGGGGCGGGGGCGTGGATTGGGCAACGGGGGCGAGCAACCGGGATCAGCTCAACCGGGAGTTTTTGCTCCAGCAACAGCAGCAGCAGCAGCATCAGCAGCAGTCGGAGGCCCGGCATCGCTGGGAGCAGCACCATCGACAGATCAAGGAGAGCCAGGAGAAGCAGGGGCAGCAGTTCTTGAGCGAGGTTGCGAGAAAATACCAACAACAGCAGCAGCAGCAGCAACAGCAGCAACAGCAACAACAACAGCAGCAGCAACAGCAGCATCATCACCAGCAACAACTCCAGCAACATCACCAGCGCGAGAGCGCCTCGGGGGTAGGGCGTATTTCCCACAACCCTTCGCCATCACCACCCCCCTTGCAGCAGCACCAGCATCACCAGCAACACCAGAAACAACAACACCGGCAGCGGCAGCAGGAGAACAAAACCCTGAAGAAAGAACAGCACCAGCGACGGAAGGAGGGTGCTGCTGCTGATAAGACGCATGAAGGCCAGGCTGGGAACAAGCAGGAGCTGGTAGCCCTCAAGGCCGGGCACGGGGTGAGGGTTAGCGAACTTACCGTGACGGCAAGCTTGCGAAAGGAAGCACGCTGCACTGCTGTTATTACTTCCCCGAACACGATTTCGTGTACTGTTGCGTACGTGCGCGCCATAGACTCGCCAGGATTGGCATTTGATCGATATCCGTCAGAACTCCGTCCCCAGTGAGGGTGACCGAAGTCCGCAGCGCGTAGCGTCAGCCATGCTTTGATAGCAGCAGGTAGATACCCGCGCACGACATTGGCTGCGTCGTCAAATGCTTGGGGGCATTTGGTCGGTGAAGGCATTCCTTTTGGATGCCGCTGTACCCTGCCCCGGAGGTACATTGTAACTGTAGTTCCTGAATACGAACTCGCCCAAACCGCCGCTCTGACCATACCACTCAGGTTGCGGTCGACCATCTGAACATGCTCGTCAGTCTGGTGGAAGAGATGACGCATAAGTGGGAACGGCAACTCGACGACGGCGGGGAGGGAGGATGGGATGACGGCATGCTGGCGAGAGAAGGCACCGAAGGTGACGGCAACGTCGGGGCGCATGGGGGATTGGTTCGCTGCCTCGCAATCACTCCTATTCGGACCCAATAGAATGGATTGTAGGCTCAAAAGGAATGGATTGTATGGTGGGTGGTCCACACACGGAGTTGATCGTTAGCAGCCGAGGGACATGCAATGTACTCTGAACCGAACCGTTGCGGGAAAGGGGGCAGGCAAATGAAGATGGGGGGTGGAAGCAGGTGAACCATTGGTGTTTGCGTTGCGCACGTGCGTTTCTTGGGAGAGTCAAGGTTAGGGTTTGTTGAAGAGTTAAGGTTTGGATTAGGGTTGGACCCAATGGAAACCAGCCTAGTGTTCTCTGATTTACAGCAAACGTCCACACAAATACTAAAGCTATGACGACCAAGGTTATGTGTCTGTGGGTGCCGTTTCCACATCATTCAGTGATTAATCGATATGTCCCTACGCCCAGGGTTCTTCCTCTGATGGCTACTTGTAGGATAGCCCTCTATCCCTCGTATGAAGCTCCGGTGCCTGTGTGCTTGCGGCTTCTCGAAAAACATCGTAGCGGTACGTAACCCACCCCCCGAAAGAATGATGAAACCTTCCGCGCGGTACTTGGTGGCGCCCGCAGCCGTGAAAGCGATACGATCGGCAGCCCTCGAGGGGCCTGGGCTGCCTATCGGGGTGATCGATTGGCCGGGAGTTGCTAGCAGCCTGTGGAGGCGACATTCAGTGGCATGGTCGCCACAGCTATGCCAGGTACGAGCGAATGTTTTCTTTTTTGATGTAGATGCGGCGGGAGTAGAGACGAAGTTTTGCATCTTGTCACGGACCACTTTTGGGGCGCTTGTCCGCCGGTTGCTGGGAAGCCATTCGCTTGCGCCTGACAAGCGCGCGTTGTCCCTTTCGCTGGCCTTGGCTTGGGCTTCTACTACGTGCGCCAAGCATGGTCTAGCTTCAGTGCCACTTGCAATCACGGCCCGCCGCAAGAACTTCTTGTGCGTGGATCGCCCTCACACCGTTCAAAATCCCCTCGATTGTGTCACTCCGACTCCCTCGCAATGGGGTGCTTCTTCGAATCCAGGGTTTGTGGAAGTTCGTGGCGTACGGCGACGTGGGGGCCGCGATGAACGCGCTTCCGAGAGCAGGGGAGACGCTCAACGGCGCGTGGACCCGGCAGGATCTGCTATACGACTCGGATACGGAGGCGTTGTCCGTCAACCCGCTCTTCATCTCCAAGGAGGACAGTGAGTCTGGCCGGCCGGCCGGCCGCTCTCTCTCTCCCTCTCTCCCTGGTGTCGTGTTGGTTCTGACTGGCTTCGTGGGACAACCTAACAAATGCTGTGTGCTGGTTCGCGCTGGCTTTTGTACAAATACAAACGAACCCGGAGTATCAAGGTAGCGCCCGTGTTGCTGTATCGGATGGGTTCGCCGCGCACATCTGAACAAGAAGGTATATATGTGAGGTCGGCTTGGCTACGAACACTGTGTCGGCACCCAACACCCCGCCTTCTTTGCAACCGCTTCCCGCATGGCAGCAACCTCCAAAATCCCGAGGTGGGGACGGTCGAGATCGAACCCTGCCGGTAAGCGCGAGTGGAGCCTTGCGGAGAAGGCGAGGAGCGAGGAACCGCTCCGTCGAGCGCCGATGCTCATGAGCGGCTCAATCGACCTGCGACACTCTCCCGACAGACCCGGCAGGGTCGGGAAGCAGGCCGCGGGCCGTGCTTCGGTAAGGGTTTATGTGCACATGGTCTCCTCTCTCTCTCTCGCGTGTCTACCTTTGAATACCCACTTGTTCCGGGTTCGCAGCGGTTGCATGTCCAGCTGGGGGCGGCCGCGAGGGAGACCCCCTGTAAAATGCCTTCTACTGCCCGACGCAATCGGTTAAGATTGCCGTATTTTGGCGGGCGGTTGCGCGTAGCAGTGCCCTCCCTGGTATGCCTTTTGTAGCTGTGGATGCGGGCATGTAAGTTGTCGTGATATCTCCTTGCTTGTCTGTTTTGGCTTCGGACAATGACCTACAACACCGAGCGGCGCTCTCCCCCCTTCCCCCCCACCCGTTTGGCCATCGTCAGGACGAAGATCAGCTCGTGCCCCTCTGCACAATCGCCGCGCGGCCTACGTTTGTTCGAACCCGCAAGCGGCCTGCGAAGGGGATTGCTCGGCCACGGGACCCGCCGTCACCGCGAAGCGCAAAAGCTGCCGCTGAGATCGCAGAAGCGGAAGCTCAAGTATGTGAGTGAGAGGGGCACCTGGCGAGAAGTATTTCATCCGCGCACATCAGTGGCCCCTCTTGTTGGTTCGGTTCGTTACGGAGGTGTTTGTCGATCCCCAGGTGGATATTTCACGAAGGTTGGCCAGGCAATGTCAACCTGTATCCATCGTAGCGTTGCGGGCCTTAACTATTGTACACCCCCATCTCCTTTGGCTACTCCTTCATGTAGGTGATGATGACGATTGTGCTCTCGTTTCGACATGTTGCCTACGGGTGGGAGCTCAACGCCATCCCTGTTGTGTGAACCCCTCCCCCCCAACTCTCTCTTGTTCCTGCCATCCGTCTCCCCCCCCCCTCCACACATAGATAAACGCTTTGAGTGAGGATGGCTGCATATTGAGACCTAACGGGTTGAGTGACGTCTGCGACTGCCGAACACATAGACGCATTGAGTGACGAAAGCTGTATACGGAAAGCTCACAGGTTGATCGGTATCGGAGATTGCCGGATACATAGACGCGTTGAGTAAGGATAGCTGTATACTGATCCACAGTAGCTATAGTGAGGGGACAATTCAAGGATACACTGCACATAGACCCGACCCCCAACCAGTAC